CAATACTAAATATTTCTAGATATTTTTTTATTATGGTTAATTTTTTTATTCAACTATAATTTAAAGGCAGCCCTTCAAACTGGCTTCAAACTGGTTATGAGCGTAAAAAAATTCCAACTGATTAAATTTTTATATAAATTATTATAGGGACTATAATAAATTTTTTTAAAAAAATAAGAAATAAAATTAATATTTTGCAAAATTTTATGTTTCCAGTTTAATATACAAGTGATCCATTAATAGTTAAAATTGATGGATGGACATGTATTACCTTTGCACTCTAAATTTGAATGCTTTTATCTGGGAATGAATTAATAGGATGATTCGATGATAATATTGTGTGTGTATTTGAGCTAGAGGGAGAAACCAATCCTTTTCAAGTAAAGAGAATGGTGACATGGGTAGTTTTGGGGTACACGTGTATCTTATTCCTATACAAGACTAGGCGTCTTGTGGTAGGGTTTTTCGGAGGATATCAACTACAGAGGAAGCAGTTTTATCTGGTGGAATGCTTATCTAATAATCCAGATTCCAACTTAAAGATTCATCATTAGCATTAATTACTTCCAATCAATGGCTGTTTTTTTGGCTGGGTAGGGAATTTTGTCATCTTCCAGGAACTTGAAATCCCATCTGCCTGCTCTTGCAATTTTCATCATTGCCACCACCTCTTTCCCGGCACTTCTTTCTCTTATATTCAATGCAAGAGTGAGTGTTGCAATGCACTTTCCCTTGCCACTGCTACTTTAAGAGTATTTTCAATCCTGTTATGAGCTTCTTTCCAATAATGTGGCAATTTTTACGACCTTAATTTTCTTCCCGGAGACAGCTAGGTTTCTTTCCCTTTTTTCCTGACTTCTTTTCGGTACTGTTGTAGACAACTAGCTAGGTTTATGCAGCGCTATGAATTAATCAAACACCGAGATTATTAATGAATGATGACATACAAGCTGATGTAATTAACTTCGTCATCCACGGTAGCACCATTTTAGATTTCACTAGAAGGCCATTTTAATGTATATTTCTGGATGTGGTTGTGGTCTTCCGAAATCAGCATGAGAAATTATCGTAAAGATGAATTAGGGGCTAAGAGGGTGTTTTATTATTATTTTTTAAAAAAATTATTTTTAATATTAATATATCAAAACAATTTAAAAACATAAAAAAATAAATTTTAACCACCCTCCATGCAACCCCCAAATAAATCCAGAAGGAGAATCAATGGAGAATCTGATGTCGCTCCTAACGAACTGAATCACTTAATAAACTACACTGCAAAGCAAAGAAAGCAAACTTTCCATGAATTATTTGGGGAATTGGGGCACTACTCACCAATGAGATCTGTGAGAAAGTGGGCCGGAGATGCGAGCCTGGAAGAGGAATGTGTAGTCATTACCATTTTCCCAGCAATGTGTAGTCATCATATATAAAAAGACGAGAGAAACAGCATGGAACTTTCCGCGAAAAGTAATTTAAAAAAAAAAAAATTTAAGAAAGTAAATTATTTTTAATATTTGATAGTATAATAAAAAATAAATTAAAAACTAATTTTTAGTATTTAATTATAGTATGAAAAATTGGCTGAAAAATAACTTATTAATATATTTTTTTTAAGTTTATTAAAATAATGAGAAAAAAATCTTACAAATTAAAAGTTTAATAAGAATGAAATTGAAAAAAAATAATTTTATAAATTATCTTAAATAAAATAAATAATAATCAAAATAATAGAGATTAAATTTAAAAAATAAAAAAATTAAAAGATGAAGAAATTAAAATAATTATAATTATAATTTTATAAATTATTTCAAATAAAATAAGTAACAATCAAAATAACAAGAACCAAATTTGATAAATAAAAAATTTTAATTAAAAAATAATAAGGGAAAATAAAATAAAAATTATAAAAATGAGGAGCAAAGTTAATATAAAAATTAAATTTTAAAGGATGAAATTGAAAAAAATATTCAAAATAAAAAATATATATATATAGTAATCAAAAGTTTGAGGACCAAATTTGATATAATCATTAAGTAATATAACATTTTTATAATTTTTATAATTTCTAAAAAGTATTTTCTACACAAAATAAAAGGAAAATACTTTTTTAAAAATCAAAGCTACATTTTTCTTTAACTAAAAAGTATTTTCTATTAATTAATTTTTCTAATAACAAATAAATAAAAAAGCAATTTTAAAAAAAAATTACCAAAACAAACACACCCTAATCTTCAAATTTCTTTCCACCATCATTTTTGCCTACATCAGACGCATTAATTAACTCTTGATTTAGGCTTCCTTGAAGCAAGGAGTCCCACAGTCTTGTAGCTTCATGATGGAATTAAGCTATTGTCCACACGAATGAGTACATCATCTTGTGCAAGACTATGTATAATCTGCAAATACCCCCCTTTCTCTTTTTTTAAGTTGATAGAATAACGACAAATTAATATTATGTTTCACAAGATCTAACCATCCGGCCACTACAACGAATGGCTCGGTGGTGCTTTAAGAAGTGATCTAGAGACACATGAACGGAACCTCCATTTTCAAGTTCTTTTATCCAATTAATTTTCACCAGCTATTACTGTGTCCCACGCATGCAGACAGCGAATTCATTTATGAATCATGGATAAATGATGCAAGGAAAAAGAAGAAGTAAAACTATTATTTCAGACTGTGGCTCCAACATAGATACGAATGTCATGGATAAATTATATCCAACGGGACACTGGCGAATTTCAGCCTCGTCCTTTTTTACCTTCCTTTCTGTAGCATTACATGAAACTAAATGATAAAGGGGATTTAAGGGCCATAAAATACTTTGTAAAATTAGCATGCAAAGGAGTCAAATGACACTAAAAGGCGGAACGGAACAATATGGGAAAGTGATAGGAGATCCAGGACAGAAGCCTTCGTTACAGTAGAAAGTGAGTTTGTAAAGAGCATTTTAAGTGGGAGACCAAAACGTTTACAGAGGAAGCAAAATCACAGAAGCACCTAATAAGAAGCAAACAAGAAGAGAAGCAGAAGGATAACGCCCATAGAAAAGAATTCAAACGAAAGCTTCATACCTAGGGTTTAACGCTTCGTAGGTTGCCATTGCAGTCTCATGTGGATTTACTTCGTAATAATCCTTCAAACTAGAGCAGTACACAAGGGAAATTACAAAGCTAGCTTGGATTCTGGGCCCAGGAAGACAAACAATAAGAGGGCGTTTGGTATGCGAATTCTTAAATATCTTCTTCGTTGGAATGCGACGGCTAAAAATATATTTGTTTGAAATATCATATCTAAAATATGATATCTGTATTTGTCGGAATGCAATTAAATTAACATCGTATATATCATAACATTTTTTTGGGTACTAAAATTGTTGTGAACAAAATAAGATGTCATGTCCTACGCCATCATTAATGAATTAATCGCCTTAAATTATCAAGATTTCTATATGCATTTAATGACTAAATTATATGGATATTAATTGCACGATTTCACAAAACAAATTAATTTGATATTTCTTGGAGAACTTCGTCTCCAATAAAAATGAATGTTCTTTGAAACTTTATAATAGATAAACTCTGCTAAAACTATATTATAAAAACGCATGCCCACTCCTTCAATCCTACCTTTGTTTCTGCGAAATGTATATACGAATAATTTCATTTAGAAAAAAATAACCAATAAGTTCTAATGATTTTTTAAGAAAACAATCTTGATTTTCAAGTTTCTCTTCCAAGTGAGTTCATATTTTATTATTTTCCTGTAAATCATTATAATTAACAATATATTTAAATCATCTTTTATTTTTTCTCGTTTTAGAAAAAAATAAAGGCATGCAATATTTTTATCCTTTTTAGATCAAAAAATATTTTTATTTTCTTAAAAGATTTAAAAGTGAGTATGGTAAGATTTTATTCTTGTTAAATTGTTGTGATTCTCAAGAATCTGAGTATACTAATTATCATCATTTTTTTTGTTTCTAAAAACCAAGATTTATAAATATAAAGAACTATATTCTTCTAATCTTATAATCATCATTACACTTGAACTTAATCAAGATTCGTCATAATGATAATAAAATAAAAATATATTATGAAAAGTTTTTTAAGCAAACTGAAAAAAAAAAGAGGAAATAAAAAGCATTTGAATAGTATTTTTAAATATATGAAATTTATAATATAGATAATATAAATTAATTTGAACTTTCTTGAAAGATAAAATTAGAATAGTGAACTAGGTCTTAAAAAAGTATCATGGAACTTAATAATCATCTATCTAAAGTAACAAATTAGCGACTATATTTTTTTACAAGGTAAATCCATATTTGATTATTAAATGATTTGAGTAAAGACGAGTCTAGAAAATATCTTATATTTTTAAATTAGTTTGTCACGGAACCCAAATACATGAGAGGTGGCCTTAGTAGAGTGATAGGTCCATGATGTTGTTGCTTGGCATAGAGCCACACCGCTGAAGCCCAGGAGCTACATGGCCAAGAAGCCTAGGAACCACAGAGGCACACCTAAAATGATAATTCTCGATGCAAATATTCGTAGCAATTATTACATACATACATATAAAATACTCTTATCAATATTATTATAGTTGTTGTATGGTACAAGTTCTAAACAATCGAATTAAAAGAAACAGGTGATTAAAAAATATAAAATGAATATGCGAACAGCTTGCTAGCTTTCCACTTAAAATTACGAGAAGTTTGGAGCCCCTTTTCGCTATATTTTTTTAATACTGGAAGTGCAATGTATGTATTAAAATTAAGTACTTAAAGCGCACAGCACAAACTTATTCGTGGCATCTTCTTGAAAATCTTACGATTGACCGGGACCCACGCAATCAATGACCACCACGTGCGTTGCCTGATGTCAAAGTTTCGAGGGCATGACACGTTTCCGTGGGGCCCATCTTGCACATCACCCCTCAACCTCTTTATATAGGTAAAGCTTGCTTCCCAGCTCTCCACAACCATCGAAGCTATAGCGAGCGCAGTCAACCAACATTAATCTCTAGCAACTTGCGTGCGTCCTTGAATAGCAAGCAAAACTTGTTTTATGTCACCAAAATTAGCCATCTAGCGGCATCGCCCTGGCTCGGACACAAAATCAAATCTGTACTACGTGCCGTCACTCTCTCTCTCTCTATAAATCGTCATATCATACCCAAAATTTCCAACACATCAGCCATTTCCAGCAAAGCTAGGGAAGCAATCTGAATCTGACAAACCATGGGCAACCCCTACTATGAATGCCCGCTTCCTGTCGCAATTCCTCCAGCAAAACCATTTCTTAAGTCCATAAAATTAGGTATCAAGGAGACTCTTTTCCCTGATGACCCTTTCAGGCAATTCAAGAACCAGCCAGCTTCTAGGAAATTCATTTTGGGAATGCAGTACTTTGTACCTATCCTGGAATGGGCTCCTCGTTACACTTTCGAGTTCTTCAAAGCTGATCTTATAGCTGGAATTACTATTGCCAGTCTAGCAGTTCCTCAAGGGATAAGTTATGCAAGTCTTGCTAGCTTACCTCCAATCATTGGATTATGTGAGTCAGCGAGTTTATTCATTTCCCAGCGAGTTTATTCATTTCCTTTTCGAAATTACAGATATTTGGATACAACTATGTATGCTAATAAAACTTCTGAAAATCGGACCTCACAATTTGCTTAACGTGTAGATTCAAGCTTTGTGCCACCTTTGGTGTATGCCATGTTGGGGAGTTCAAGAGATTTGGCCGTGGGTACTGTAGCTGTGGCATCGCTTCTCATATCTTCCATGTTAGGGAAGGAGGTTAACCCTAATGAGAACGCGAAGCTCTATGTTCAGTTAGCTTTAACTGCCACCTTTTTTGCTGGAGTTTTCCAAGCTGCTCTTGGCTTATTAAGGTCAGTTTTTTTTTTTTAACACAACATGCATGTGACCAATCTAAAACTGCTCTCTCAACTCCCTCGGTGCTTGGATTTTGTCTTATTGCACCAATGTTTAGAACATCACTAAAGGCATAGCCAACGGTGCAAGTTTACCGTTAAAGATAGAAATAAACCATTGATAGTCCTCCATGCAGCTTAATTTAACGTATATAGCATATGATTCCTGCACTGTGTTTCCTTATATTATGTTTTCTAATTTATTTATTTATTTTTAATTTAACTGTGATTTCATTTGTTAAATTGCAGGCTTGGTTTTATTGTGGACTTTTTGTCCCATGCAACAATAGTGGGTTTCATGGGTGGGGCTGCCACGGTTGTTTGCCTTCAGCAGCTAAAAGGCATTCTTGGGTTAGTTCGTTTCACTCACGGGACAGATCTTGTATCGGTTATGCGTTCAGTCTTTAGCCAAACACACCAGGTACATATTTTTCCTAACCCTAGCTAGTTTTGTCTAGAAACTTCATGGCATAGCTTAATCAATCCCCTTCTCAATGTTTTCTTTAAGTTTTTTAAGAAATAATTATCATTGTTATGGTGGTGGTGGTGGTTGCAGTGGAGATGGGAAAGTGGTGTCTTGGGTTGTTGTTTTCTCTTCTTCCTCGTTCTCACAAGATACATTGTAAGTAATCCAAATCATTTGTCACTTCTATTTAGGAAAACTTTCATATCATCATCTCCACCTACTTACTTGTTATTGTCAAAGTTTAAGAAATTTGAACTCCTCTACCAACAGCAATAATTATAGAACACATTATGGAAAGGTTTTCCTTTAACAATAAGGATGCTTTTAATTTCGAAAATAATTAACTTTAGACTTTTTAATCTCAATAATGCAAAATTATACCTGATATATCTTGATCTTTATTTTTGATAGACACACACACACACACAGTATTAATTAATCTAACAAAGAAATTAAGCAAATGTCTATATTGTGATTTTTCCTTTTTATTTGTGAAGCGGCCCTATCTACGATCCCAGGATATATATGAACTAATCTTGGTGTTGCCCCTTGTGATTTCATAATTTGATTGCAAGTAGAGCAAGAGAAAGCCATGCTTCTTTTGGATAAATGCGATGGCACCCATGATGTCTGTTATTGTTGGAAGTGTTCTTGTTTATTTGACCAACGCTGAGAAATACGGAGTTCAAGTGGTGAGTTCTGTCTTCTCCTCTCGTCAATGCATAGCGATAAATTCTTGTGCACATTTTAAAATTGGGTGTTCTCAATTATCCAATGACAAAAAAAAGAAGAAGAAAAAATGCCCCCTATTCCTTACAAAATTTGAGAAAAAGCCGCTCTGATCATACAAAAAAATCTTTTTTTAGAGAGAGAGAGAGAGAGGTATAAAATCCTAGCGGGCCTTGGTTAAGCACAGCTTATGACATCCCGAAGACTTTCAATATCTCACCAAAAATATAAATAGCTTTCTGTACCGACTCCCAGCAATCATTTTGTTGGATGGATTGTCAATTATGAGCACGCTGGTCAAGACATCACCTACTCGGTAAAAGGAAAGGAGTCCAATTAAAATTATATTTAGGGAGTGGAGTAATAATTGTGACGTGTGTTTTTTATTTAAAAATATATTAAAATAATATTTATTATTATTAATTTTTAAAAATTATTTTTAATATCAACATATTAAAACAATTTAAATATATAAAAAGAATAATTTAAAACTATTTTCTAAAATATTTAAAAAACACAATTTTAACCATAAACACGATTTCAGTGGGAAGGAATCCTAGTTATTCCTGCAAGTAATCTCCGGTTTGAGTTCTTGTAAATTGTATTAGGAGAGGTCCCGTCTTGAAAACTAACAGAAAAAAAAAAATGTTCGTTTTTCAAATATCAGTAAAACAAATTCATTCCACCTGGATTTCTATAGATGGCTTGGGCTCGACCCTCCATGAGAGCAGGAAACTAGACACGCGTGTGTCCCGCACCAATCATGTTCCCGAGCAATAATCCATGCTGTTATATTGTATACACGAGCAAAATAATATATATGATGCACTGTTGGATTTGTTTGTTTTGTTCAGATTGGTCACCTAAAGAAGGGCTTGAATCCACTATCTGTATCTGAGTTGGCTTTTGGGTCACCGTATATGGTGGCAGCTATTAAAACAGGAATCATAACTGGTGTCATAGCTCTTGCTGTAAGTAGTCCTGCATCTCTCCATCCTCGAATATATACATCAAACTCCACTCACTCATATGCTACCCGTTAATCACAAGCTCCGGCATACGTCAGTGACAAAACTGGCCTTAGTCTATTGACACATCACCATATTGTTGTGTCCAGGGTTGATACACTCTTTCATATCCATGCAAGTGAGAAAAACAGAGAATATACGCAGACAATAATGTATTTTTTCTTTTTGGGTAGGAGGTAGTAGTGACTATTTCTCTACGTTTTTACACATAAAAAAGAGTTATGGTACAGACGAAATCAAAGAGACAACGAAACCATAAACAAGTGGGTTGTAGCTCAATTTGTATAATGTATTCCTCGATGACTAAAAAATTGTGGTTCAGATTTTCCTTGCAAATAAAGCAAAATTATGGAACATGTTAAAACTCTTACAGTGAAGACTGAAGGGGTGAAGGTCTAAATCTTGTTGTTCTAGAACTGAAAAGGCTCAATGGTGTTCGTTTATTCTTGGGCAATAAACTGAACCTGCGGCCCAAAATTAAGAACAGAAGTAAGATAAATAAAAAAAAGACTGGCTTGATGAATGTACAGGAAGGAGTAGCTGTTGGGAGGAGCTTTGCCATGTTCAAGAATTATCATATTGATGGAAACAAAGAGATGATCGCATTTGGGATGATGAATATTGCAGGCTCTTGCGCCTCTTGTTATCTTACCACAGGTACTAATTCTATGCGTGTACTATAGCAAGTTAAGGCCCAACTGGAATGAATCAAGGATCCATTATCGGAGCCTGGTTTGGTCTAAGTTGCTTGACTTGATTTTAGGCCCCTGCGGGAATATTATATCCAATACTCTTGACTCTTGGTGTCTTTTCCTTTTGATAAAATCTTTATTGCGGTCCTATGTTAACTAGGCAAATCCTTCCATAAGCTGGTTTTATGGTTAGATGCATATTTATGCAGCAAATAATCCTCTTACAAACAATCATTTTGGTTTGGATTGCAGGACCATTTTCGCGAACTGCGGTGAATTTTAATGCAGGATGCAAAACAGCAGGCTCTAACATAGTCATGGCAACTGCTGTAATGGTGACGTTGCTGTTTCTGACACCGTTGTTCCATTACACCCCCATAGTGGTTCTCTCCTCCATTATCATTGCTGCGATGCTTGGCCTAATTGATTATGAAGCTGCAATTGGCCTCTGGAAAGTTGACAAGTGCGACTTCATTGTTTGCATGAGTGCATACATTGGAGTTGTCTTTGGCAGTGTGGAAAGTGGCTTGGTCATTGCTGTAAGTAACTTAGACAAGCCACTAATTCATCTCAGAAAGTAAGTGTCAGAATGAATATTGCTGATGTGAACAGAAATTGCCTATACAGGTCACAATTTCTTTGCTAAGGATGCTCCTGTCTGTAGCAAGGCCAAGGACATTTCTTTTAGGCAACATTCCCAACTCCATGATCTTTAGAAGCATAGACCAATACCCGGTTGCAAACAATATTCCAGGAGTTCTCATTCTCCAGATTGATGCACCAGTCTACTTTGCCAACGCAAACTACTTAAGAGAAAGGTATGCAAAATAATAAAGATAGACGATAAACGGTAAAATGTTAAACAGTGTGCATTATAACTCAAGTATTATTTGCTCATTAAATTTTGTTCAGGATTTCAAGATGGATCTACGAGGAGGAGGAAAAGCTGAAATCCACAGGAGAATCAAGCTTACAGTATGTGATACTAGATCTCAGTGGTAAGCGTCTTAACTAATCACAATCATCCTAGCCATCGGGCTTATCTTTTGCACATTCTAGCTTAATTCAACCCTAAAGTTTCCATCCATTCAATCCACAGCTGTTGGCAGCACAGATACAAGTGGAATCAGCATGTTCAAAGAAGTAAAGAAAAGCATCGATAGAAGAGGTCTCAAGGTATAAACAGTTATCAATTTTTCCATATTTAAGCTTGCTTCTTTGCAAACGTAGTCCTAGGTTAGTAATGTCATATTTTGTTGTTGATCTAGCTCGTACTGGCCAATCCAAGAAGTGAGGTGATTAAGAAGCTAGTAAAGTCGAAGTTCATCGAAAGCATTGGTCAGGAATGGATCTATCTGACAGTAGGAGAGGCTGTAGCAGCATGCAATTTTATGCTACACGCAAGCAAATCAAATAATCAGGTCGCAGATGAGTTTGGCGCGCACAATAATGCCTGATGTAAGAGGGGAGGAATTGGATCCAACCACAACTATGTGGTGTGAATGTTCACCGCTGAAGAAGAACCCCACTTAATCTTATTGATCCTGAAGTGGAAAAAACTTATGAATTTGCTGTGATAACTAAAGGTCTAAAAATATTTTGTATCCCCGTATAGTGCAAACATAGTAGTATGTAGTTCTTTCTAGAAATTATAAAAGGTTGGTTGATATCTCGGTAGCCTCTCTATTCCCTTCACATTTGACATTTCAGACTAGAATTAACGTTTCAAACCCATACTAAAGAGATGGGGGCCTCCCATGCCATGCATCAACAATTAAATCATGGCATCGTATTTGGTTGGAAGTTCTACCAAAGTAGCATAGTTATGGCATTAGCAGGGTAAGAAAACAATAGGAACAAAAATTTCTAACTACCATGACTGTCGTGACATCTTATACTAAGACTGGATGCATACCTAAGTACTTTAGTATACCGACAAGTACAAGATTGTTTTGAAATTGCCGAGTGAGCGTGGAACAAGATCAGAACTCCTAGGGGTTTGCAACTTATGTACAAAGTGAACGGCAGTAGAAGAAAGAGCAAGGTGTCCCTTTGAAAAACTAGAATCTTTTGATTTTAGATTATTTGCTATTCAACTGATGATTTTGACTGACCAAATATATGCTAACAATAAATATTACCCCAGAAGGATTAGATGTTGAATAGCAGAGAGTCAATCTTCTTAATAAACAACTTAAGTTACTCAGGGCAGGTACTTGCTTCCCATGAACCATAGTTATCGTGCATGTACAGATTTGCATAATAGCGGATGAAATACTGAACAAGACGTGAATAGTGCTTACAGGGCCAGCCTGAAGGAAGAGTCCCCAAGAGCTAATGGCAGAGATGACCAAAGGCTGGGACACAGGAGAGATATCTACACTCCCCATAAAAATGCAGCAGCAGCCATGCACCATGCAATAGTGGTCTGAGTACTTCGATACTGTAGAGTGATTTTAGTTGACGGGGTCAACGGTTCGATGCTGAAGTGTTCTGTCTCATGTCCCGTAGATGCTGAGGTGTTCTATTATACTTTCGCCTTACTAAAGCCATCACATCAGATGGATGATGAGAATGTAGTGGCCAGGGGAAAAAATTAAAACATTACCGTGAATGGATATCCACAATTTCACCCCACTAATTTCATGTTATCCATCTAGATTGCTTGTTTTCAATCATCTTGATCCTTGAAACCTCTGACAATTATAGCTTGGTGTCCACCGTAAACTAATAAAAAGGAATTTATGCAAACCAGTGAACCAACACCAGAGCCTTTACAGGCATACATAGATTGGAACATAGCTTCCGAAAGCAAGGTGATGGAGAATAATTTGTCTACTCGGCTTTGCAGTGGTGACTACCAAGACAGGAACGACCCACATTCGTGCTTACTGGGCTTTTTACTATATTTAAATTTTCACTTTATAGATCTTACCGCTAAGATATTCATTTATTGATGCTAACCAGATATGACACGAGCTAATATAATCTGGAAAGCAAAGGCCGAAGAGGTTTGAATCCATTACTATTCATTATTTTAGCAAAAGGATAGAAGATAAAAGCGCTAAAATACTCCAGAACTTCAACAATCAATTAAAAAAAAATCCGAAACAATTACGGAGATAAAGATGGGGCGACTTGCATCATTCACCAAAGCCAAAAAATGATACAATAGCCTAGGAATCAGGACTGAGTTGTGCTACCCATTTGCAAATTTTCAAGACATCAATGCTAGCATTTTATACCCGGGATATGAAATAACTCGCTCAATTTACGAGCAATGCAAGAAAAGCAAACCATACAAGAAAAAGCATCTAGAAATGCAACAACTCAAAGAAGCTCACAAGTTATCAGTAAGTGCTCAAAACTGAACAATTGATCGATATGGCTAACAAAAATAACCTTCTCGCATGTGCTTATCAGCTATCACATCTAACCAGGAACTTCTGCGCAACATCAAAGCAAGCCAGAAAGGCTTGCGGCTGTCTGTTCTCATTTCACATGTAAATTTCCCATTGATGAGTGCACTGTATTATCCTCGAGTAGATTGCCAAGAAAATACAGGAAATTAAGGATTTGGCATCTTTTCTTTGAAAAGGCGTGGCAGCACTTCATGAGCACTAATATCTAGAATCTCTGGATCCCTGGCAAAAAAAGGTACACAGATTCCAGTGTGTATCAGGAGAAAAGAAGCGACACTATTGTCTCATGAGATGACCAGTTTGAACTAATTACTATGTCATGTATTAAGCTAACATTAAGATGATACGAGATGACTAAGTAAATTGCACTTGTTCTCTTTTTCTCTGATGTTGACGTGGTAAAAAAAGGGAAATTTCCTTCTCAACGAAAAAGAGGGTACAGAATAAATCATCTCCATTGAAATGATGAGCCCCAATGGAGATGATTTATTTCATGAGCTGCTTCATGCCCAGTTTTTTGATATCTAGCAATCCTAAAAAACTGAAAGTCAAAGCTAGCACCCATCTCATGAACAATGATGATGTTGAAATTTTAACATGCCTTGTTCTAGTTGATCTACTCTTTAGTTTCCTTCTTCATGTCCGCAAATATCCTAAATTAGCAAGTTTATGCAGCTAAGAACTGGAATTGTCAAATATCACATATTTATGGATAAAGCATATGGAGGCCTGTCTGTCCAGATGATTGACTGCAATTGGTGGGTGTGCAATAAAATACTAGATGACCATTCTAATGCAAGTCGTCAGGGAGAGAGTATATGACTTTATATGCAATGATGGTCATGAAACATGGTACATGTCAGAGTTGAGAGCTTATATAATTTATACATTACTAAGCCATCTATAGAAGGATCTATATATACTAGAATAAAAACTTTCACAGCAAATTAAGAGTATATATGACAGAAGTGGATGGCTGGCTGAAGAGAGAAACCTGCATAGTGTTTGCCCCTTTTCATTGCTGCTAGCAATAAACCATATTTTTCGCATTAAAGGTGACTCATATTGAACGAAGAAGCCATCGTGCTGCCCATGCCTCCACTTTCTTGATCCTTGACCTTTCCAAACCTGCAAAAATGGTATGCCATAAAATAAGATCTAGTTGGTGAGTACAGTGTTACATCTCACCAAAGAACAAATCAGCTAGGACAACCAAAACTTGATAGAAGGGATATATACAGTTTTAGATTTGAAAGATTTATGAAGTATACATAACTTGATTATAAGCAAGTCAGGTCCTGTCTTACAGCCATAAACCATCAACTAGATTATAAGCAAGTCAGGTCCGTGTCTTACAGCCATAAAGCCATCAAGTCATTGGTGGTGCATCTTCTATGGATTTGATATAATTGGAAAAAAAAAAAAAACTTGCAAATTAATTAGCAGCCGCAATATACATCAACACTTCTCCAATTTTACCATTAAAGGTTAAACTCAAGCAAGCTGCAAACAACACCTTACTAGCCCAAGCTCATCAACTCTAATTCAGCTGCAACACAATAAGCTGATTTTTATGAAATCAAGGTTATTTAATTACTAAAATCCTAATTTAATTACTACATGGTAATTCCTAATACAAAATTAAAATTCCTAAACAATAAAAACCGATTCCCATTGTTGCCTTCGTTCTCCATCACATTTATTATGTGTGTACATGGTGTTCCAGAAAAAGAAGGGCTTGCTTCTCAAAAAATCATTACCACATGTGCGAAGAAGCAAATCATTACCTGTGGATAAGATATGATATTCTTTGGCACCACTATGCAAGCTGCCTTGGAGAAAGAATCCTCCGCATATTGCCTAAGAAATGAGAAACAATTGCCATGTGTATGGGGCGATTCAAAGGCCTGCAATAAGAAGTAAGATAAAGGTAATTGTTAAAATCATGAGGAATTTTATTCTTTTATATCCTCTTTTTACGGGTGTGTATACCATACATCACCCAAATGATGTGCCAAAGAAGATAATACAGTTCCAAAAGTGAATACCTTATCAATATTGACAACTGGAGCATATTTATCAGTTAGTGTCTTTTCCTTGTCAAGAAGAAAGTAGACTCTAGGATCCACTTTAGAAGCTTCATGCCATGATTTTACAGCTGTCTCCATGGTCTCAACAAGAAAGGAGAAAATTTCTTTAAAACATTCTTCGGATCCAAGCATTTCAGACTACAAAAGAAAGGCTAGCTTAGTTCTCACATGCAAAACAAAGCTTAAATAATTGATCTTCTCCCGTAAAGAAAAGTTTACAAATGAAGCTATCCAGATTTAATCTTCCACTAAAGAGAAAATATGGTTAATAGGAAACAACCACCTCCAAAATGCATCTTACTCCGAAATAAGTATTTCAGATATGAGGTGAAAAATTTGGACATAGTGAATCTTTTCTTGATAAACTACACTCACCATTTCAGATTTCAATGTTTCCAAGTGCTTTTCCATGTTAACATTGGATCTCATGCTCTCAACCTCTTGGGCTCGTTTTTTGTCTTTGGCCAACTGGGATATCCTCTTAATCTTTCTTGATACTTCAGTGCTCCGTGGATTGTATTGTAAAGCTATTTGAAAAGTAGCCAATGCCTACAATACATGAGCAGTAAACATGTATCAACAGCAAATCAAAAACCAAGCAACCTTGTCTAAAAAGCTACCAGATAACACTAAACGTGAAAATGTTCCTTCAGAGTTCAGACATACATTATCATACTGTTCCATGGCCTCTAATACACACCCTTTCCTAAAATATCCCTGGAATATCAACAAAACGCAATAATTAAAGAAAAATCTTGGGATATGAAGTAAACCAACCCAAAAATGGTTATACATATTTGTGCACCTTTTCCCATTGAGGATTCAATGTGATAGTTGTCTCGGCATCAGCAAGTGCTTTATTAAGCTTGACCAATTGCAAAAATGCTGCAGCACGATTGCTGGCCAATGATAGAATCATAAATGAGAAGATGCATGAGTTCAACATACATTACTTGCATAATTGTTCACAAACTGATTCATAGAAAAAAAGAATGGAGCAGTCGATGGCCAAGCAAACTCTGAAAATAGATGATTATTATAACTCACCATGCTAATTCTCATGAAAAATCTTCCATTTAGGAATTTCAGTGTTTGAAAGATCATTGACAATAACAGCTAAAGCTCTAACAGACACTTGCAGTAGATGAATAGGTGTAAAGAAGCCAGTCAATTATCATAACAGGATTAAAAGACCATCTTGATTCAAATGCATTGAACGCAAAAACCAAATTTCTTGTAGACAGATGAAACACGCACAATTATAATGAAAATGAAAGAATTATGATGACAGCATTAAGGAAACTACATGGGTTCTTACTTTGGGCAGCACAAATGTGCTCTACCATACTGCCATGTATTCATAAAACGCATAAAACTTATTGGTATAGCAATGCCATTAAGCAAGAAGAAAGAAAATTCGATAGCACGCCTCCTGTCTTAACACGATAAAGCAGGCCTAAAGAAATTAGTTGGAAAGTAACAAGGCACAGCTCCAACACTCTACGATTAAACATAGCTATACAGCATAAAGTCTCTATATTCCAAATATTAAGCAAATGCATATAGAATGATGAGAGCAATAAATATGATGAATGAAGGCAAAAAAACAGTTTAACTTCAACTAGTTCTCAAAAATGGCAAAGCATCAAACTGGAATTCCTAAAGAAACTTAAGCCACAACAACCACAAACCAACCAAATCCAGTCAAAAACCCAGTTGAAAAAATGAATCAAATTTTACTAAAAATAAAACAAAATTGCATTTTGATAAACATTCAACGATTAACCATAAGAACAAGCCCTAATTTAGGGGTCATGTTTTCTTTTACCTATAAAGAGTGGGATTTGAAGGGTCAAGTTTGATAGCCTGAGTATAAAGAGCAGCAGCTTTGAGATAGTTCCCTGCTTTAAAGAATTCATTGCCTTTGTCTTTCAATGATATCTCCTCCTTACCATTACCTACGTTGGAGCCTGTCGTAGCTGATCCTTTCTCTGCTTCGGCCATTGTAACTGGGTTCTCGCTAGAGTTTACGAGAGTGATCTTTGATTTCTTCTTCTTCTCTTCTTTAAGGTTGTACGCTTGTACTGGCGCAGAGGGTGTACAAGTCAAGTGAAGCAAGCTAGCAGAGCGGTTCTGCTGGAGACTCGATGTAGAAGAATCTGGACCTTTAATTGCAATTTTAACATTAATATCCATTTAATTGATTGAGGGGCCCAGGCCCATTAGCTAGATATGAAGTGTACAGGTTTGGGTAAATGTTTCTGTTGAATTGTATTGTATGGAAAATATTTTTTAAAAGCATGTTTTATTTTTCATTATTTGTTTATGTTAATGAGAAATATTTAAAAATAATTACTTGATGCTTGTCATGTATGAAAAATGTGTTTAAAAAAGAAGAATTAATTTATATATAATTTTTTCATTTATTGAGAATCATTTGAATAATTTATTTAATTAGTATTGTAACTGATGTTTAATAATCAATGATATTTTTAAAATAAAGATATTTGGGAGTATAATAATAGTTATTTTTTAAAATATTTTTTATATACAAATATATTAAAATAATATTTTTTATTTTAAAAAAATATTTTTAATATCATCACATTAAAATAATTAAAAAAAAAAACCTAAAATATCATGGATAGTGTCATCCCACTTTGCCCACTGCAATTCAAAATATCAGCTTTCGGAGCTTTTTTAAAATTAGTATAGTAATTTAAAAAATTTAGTAAAATAATATTACTTAAACAAAATTTAATGAGATAGCATATTTTATCTTTCCACACTTCAAAAACATAATATATTATAAATATTGTTATTTCCAAGCGCAATAATTAAACACATTATGTTTTTTAATAGCAATAACTTAATATGAATTAGTAAATAAATCTGTCTCCAAAGATGGTTTCTCAGCATCCTCAGCCCTGGAACCATCAACGATAACTTGGTCGGCGGTATTGTCAGTCGCCGGATTATCTGAATTTGTTTCTTATTTATCAGTTGTTTCCAATACCTCAATGGATGGATGGAGGCTCAACATTATAAGCCTTCCCTTCCTCGTTCTCAACACCCTGCTCTCCAGCTTCTTCCCTTGCACTTTCATTTCACTTGTCTCTTTGAAACCATTTTCGCTGGCTATTACCAACAAAAACAAACTCCGCTGGAACCCACCTCACCTCCTTTTCTTTTTTTCTTTTTTTATAGCATTTTCAACAAAATAAAAAAAATCAAGATATAATAATAAATAAATATTAAAAACTATGAAAAGTAATTTTCAAAAAACTATTTTGCATGAAATAAACAATACCTTCTATATATATATATATATATATATATATATAGCGCTCTCTTCATAAACTATTATTATTAATAATACAACTAAAAATGTGCGGTCGGTTTAATTGTTTGTATTGGGTCATGGTTCATGGTCCCAAGCAAATGAAAGTAATCAAACCTGCTAAATAGTATTAGAGGAAATTAACGGGCCACTTAACCAAGGCTAACAGGCTTTCAACGCCCACCTTCTTTTCCAAGTGACATTAAACCCACAATATTTTGTGTCGAGGTAAAATCCTATACTTCAAGATGTGAAAAGAAAATTGGAAAATGAAATTTAAATTTTATGATATCTATGAAGTAATTAGTAACATAGTTGTTTTTTAAAATTTACAATTGAAAAAAAAGACATACAAAAAAAAAGAAAAAGAAAGAGAGAACAAAAAGTGATAAAAGTGAAGAAATATTTTAATTTTATATATATATATATATATTTTTTTTAAAAAAATAATAAAATATCACTAGTTATTTTATAAATACCATTGTTAAAAAAAATTATATAAATATTTATTTTAAAAAAAATAAATAAAATATCACTGATTATCTCATGAAAACTATTGTCGTGAAATACCAATATATCATGAGCAATTGTTTTTTGGCTAGGATAAAAATGAAACTGTGGTGACTTATATATATATATATATATATATTAGTCTAGATGGTAATCCAAGTGCATAACCAACCATATATACTTTAAAGCTAGCAAATATCAGTCGGCTAAGTAGCTGCTAGTCTGCTACATGCAACTGGGACTTTTGCATGAAACCCAATTGGAAATTGACTAGAGCAACTACAGAATATATAAGAAGAAACGGCGAAGAAGATCGATTTATATGCAACAGCCAGATGCCCTTGTAGGAAAAAAGCTAAATTGATAATCTGATTTCATGCCTTTGATCAATAAAAGCTAATTAATCAGAAGAATTTGATTCCCATCTATGTTGTATGTATTGATTTATACTCCATTGAAACCTCAGCTCCTATTGATTTCCAGTACT